TTTGAATCCTGCTGGCATTATGATCCTTGACAAACTCTACTTCTACACACATAAATAAACGTGAAGTTAATTAGAGAAAATAAAAGGTGAATTTCACAAAACCCCCCAGGAAGTTCCGCCCATTTTGAGTAGAAAACGTCACTTAACCCCGAAGACCTTGGAAGTTAATGACATTTCTAAACTTTCTGTGGATTATTATAAAATGGGCCAAACTTTCTGAGGGTTTTGTGAATTTTACCACTTAATGAAAATTTCTCTCTGTCGCATCACATTGCAGTGAGATACTCCTGTCCGAAATTTTATTGTTGTCTATATATAAATTACTTCATCTAAGTTAAGAGTATCATATTTATACTGGCTGCCTAGACATATCAAGTAGTACACGTGTCACCATCTTTATAGTCGAGATAATTATGATGGTTACATGGCTTGTAGATAAGTCCATGTGGCAAAACCCTATTAGTGTGGGATAATTCAGCTGACGTATGTGTAGATCGGGTAAGTTATGGACGTTGGCAATTAAAAAATTTTGAGTACTATATTGAAATATCTTTAACATGATAAGCTGAGGATATGATACAATTTGAATCAATCATATCTAATCAGACAAGCCGCTATAAAACCGAGCAGGTTTGGGAAAAGGCATGGTAACCAAACTAAGATGAGTTTGGCTATCATAGACCTCTATCACGATTTCTGGTCTTTTCAGGTTAGGTCATTGGGTCGTGGCCAAGTGATCAGCTGAGTGCTGGTGCTCTATATTTTAGCCAAGTTAAGTGAGTTATTTGGTTGACCGAGTCAGCTTGATGACGTGGTGCAGTCTGTCTGGCTAGCCAAATTGCAAAATCGGTTATATGCATAACAGTTTCTATGGCTTCTATAGCAATTAAACAATCTAGATATTCCGTAATTGTTTTGAAGAAAAAAAGGCATAATAAAAGAGGAATTCAAAGTTACGCTAATATATTTGACCTCCTAGAAAAGAGCTCGCTCTTCTGTCTTCTATTTCTTTTTAAAAATAGGGGTTTTTTCAATATTAGTTTCTTGAATCTTTCCTAGTTTGAAATTGGTCCTTTAAATCATGAAAATTGCTACTACACAACTCAATTTTCAAAGTTATTTTGAAATTAGTCCATCAAATAATGGAAATCGCTATTCTTAAATTATTTAAAATTTATTCCCTCAAATCAAGAGTAGAAGTAGCAAGTGGAGGGATTTTCAAGTAAAATCTATTATTATGTCCTTATGGACTATTAGCTTCACCAATTCTCATAATTTATTTCAAATTAGTCCCTCCAATTGTCATTTCTTTTTTGCATTGGAGGGACTAATTTTAAAATAAATTAAAATGTAGAGGACCTAATAGTAATTTACATGATTTGAGGGACTAATGTTAAAATAACCTAAGAATTGAGGGACCTCATAGAAAAATCCGTGATTTGATGAGGGACTAACTCAAAGTATGAAAGATGTAAGGGGCTAATATTTGGGAGGGAAAACCTAAAAAACAATACCTCAAAAGTCTTATTTGATGAGGGACTAACTCAAAGTTTTTTGGGATTTATATTTCAAAATGGCATTTTGTCATCAATGAGTAATAACTTCAAAGGGCCTTTATAAGCAGGCTTCAGGGCTTTGTCGTAAACCCCCTTAAATTTCAGAGGTGTGATGAGTGAAGTTTACCCTTCTTTTTTAGTTGGCGGTGGAGTGGAAGGACGTTGGGTCCAAATGGAGCCGGGCAAGATTTCACCGTCACCAAAACCGTCTGCTGGAAATTTGGGAATAAAATAAAGAAAAAGATATTGACAAAGAATCTGAGCCGTCGTTATATAATCTAACGGTCAACTTGATCGGCAGGCGGCAGCTATTTAAGACTAATATACCACTAATCATTTCACAGAATTTCATGCGTAATTTATCTCTTTATAGCCTCATTAATCGTTTTTTAATCATTTTGACACTAATGATGGCTTATAAATCATCGATTTGTCAAACACTCTATTATTAAAAATAAATTATACTATAGTAAATTTACCAAGCAATATGATTTATAATTATCTATTTAACTTATAATTCATCTGTTGATTATAATCTAAAGTCGGACAAATATGATTTGTTACTCTACTCCATTCTATTTAATTGGTGATTCTTTAAAACTGGACTAAAATTAAATCCGATCTAGTTTTATGTTAATGTAATTCTTTTTTCCGTTCTTTTTACAGTTGTAAGCTAGAGCTGTACAAGAAACTCAGCACATAGCCCCTCATAAATTAATAGCTAGATGCAATTCACAAAGAATAGTGGCTATTAACAAGTTTCTCTCGGCTCTTTCTCTAATGTCTAGTCGCATTTTTTAGGGGCTGTTTGGTTGGTTTCCTAAAATCAAAGAAAAGAAAATAAGACCCCGGAAACTATTAAAAGTTGATTTTCATTCATTTTTATTTTTAAAAATCATGCACATTATCCAATAATACGGTGACAATTCATATTTATCTCGTAGGAAATGATAGAGGCACACTCCAAGGCACACCACCAACCACACTCCATCTCTCTCTATAGTGCAGGGGGCCTCACATGTGATTTTCTAAAAAAATCACATGTGGAGCCCCTTGCACTGTAAAGAGAGAGGGAGTATGGTTGATGATGTGCTTTAGAGCGTGGCTGTAGCGCCTCTCTTATCTCATCTCCTTTCTTACTCTTAAGAATGAATCAAACACAACTAACATGCATAAATAAATAAATAAATAAACGAAAAGAAATGGAAAGAAAAAGACTAGTCCTCTCGACATCAGCCAAACTGTCAGAGGAAATGCTTTACATCTAAGCAAGAGATTGAGCTCTCAGTCTCATCAGAGAGGGGAAAGCAATGGAGATCTCCGCCTTGTTTCTGGCCTCACTCTCTCTCTTCCTCTTCTCCCAAGCCTCAGCTGAAGATGTTACAAGTAAGCCCCCCCACTCGCTCAATGCTCTTTTTTTCTTGCTATTTTTAGCTGGGTCTTGTCTACTTTTGGGTAGATTGCAGGTGAGCTGAAAATGGGCTCAACCCATTGCTCTATCTCTTTCTCTGTAGTTAGTAATTTGCTTTGAACGTTAAATGAACAAATGGGTAGCTCTCCAGTTGCCTTGATCTTGACGGGATCTTTGGATCTAGTATGTAAAGCGTGGCCGTTGGCCAAGATGATTAGCTTCATTTTATTTTTTGTTAGATTTTAGATGATTTGTGTTGTCCATTTTTTGTTAGACTATCGTGAGCTAAGAGTAGATTCAAGCCATTGCTCTATTTCGCTTGGAGCGTTGAGGAAGTAAATGGCCACTAAATGGGCATCTCTCCTTTTCTTGATCTCGATGGATCTTTGAGTTCAGTATGGACACGATCAAGATAATTGGCTCACTTGATGTTTTTTTTTTTTTGGTTAGAATTTAGTTGGTTTATGTGTTTTTCGTTCGATTCAGGTAAAGATAAGAATAGATTTAAGGCAATACTCTTTTTTTCTTCCTTAGACCGTTGAATAACTAAATGGGTATCCCTGCCTTGATATTGATGGGATTTTTTGGAATTAATGTCCAATGTGTGACAAAGATGATAAAACCTAATTCAATTTGGTTGTAGCCCATATCAAAATGAAATAAAACAAAACGACTAAGATCTGCATGTTTCAGCTCACCATTATTTCTATTCCTCTCATATCCCTTGAACCCATGTTGGGTTGATATTTTGCATCCAACCCAGCAGCGATTTAATGAAATTGAGAGATATCATCGAGTATTAGTTGTAGGTGTTTAATCCCTTGGTCAAAATATAGAATGAATTACCCTAAACTTATCAAACGCAGGCACATAGCTTAACTAGACTGTACATTAGTATGGAACTATGAATAAGATGCTAATATTCATGATGAAATTAACTGCATTCTTATAAATTAGGGGTGACAAATTATGACCTGACCCATCAACCCGATCCGACCCATTTATAATGGGTATGGGTCGAGTTATATGGGTCGGATCATAAATGGGTCAAACTGGACTGACTCATTTATTAAATGAGTAAATTAGGGTTGACCCAAACTGACCCGTGTAACCCAATAACTGACCCGTTTAACTAACTCAAACTACCCTCCTCCAAGTTCTGCACATAGCTTAACTAGACCATACATTAGTATGGAACTATGAATAAGATGCTAATATTCATGATGAAATTAACTGCACTCTTATTAGGGGTGGCAAATTATGACCCGACCCATCAACCCGACCCGACCCGTTTATAATGGGTATGAGTCGAGTTATATGGGTCGGATCATTTAACTGACTCATTTATTAAATGAGTAAATTAGGGTTGACCCAAACTGACCCGTGTAACCCAATAACTGATCTGTTTAACTGACACAAACTACCCTCCTCCAAGTTCCCTCCAATCTCCTTCCTCCTTAGACGCTCTCAAACGAAAACTCTAACCCTAGCCCTAGCCTTTTCCAGTCGACGTCAATTTGTCGCTGGCCAAGCTTCCTCACAACAGCAGGAGCAAGTAGAGGAAGCGAGGGGATCGAATCAAGAAGAGGAAAAGAGGGAATGGGATGAGGAAAGGTCTCGGCCGTACTCTTCGACATGGACGACGTCCTCTGCGACAACGAGGAGCCCTCGAGGATGGTGAACGTCTACGAGCGGAGGCAAGCGGCGACGTGCGGAGGCGAGCGAGTAGAGGTCAGTGACGACGAGTGACGGTGAACAAGCGGAGGCAAACGACGTCAATCGGCGAGCGCTAGGTCCTCTTCTACGTCCGGCGAAGTCCTCTTTGACGTCCGACGAAGTCTTCTTCGACGGCACCCCGACTCCGATCTCGACCAAAGCCCTAAAGTTCGGATTTTTTTTGGTATGGGGTTTAGTTTTTTTAATTTATTTATTCAACGGATGAATTTGGATTTGCATTTTGGCGCATGAGTTCGCGTATTTGGTGGATTGTGAGAGGTAGGAGAAGGGGATCAGATCTAAGAGGAGAGTATGCGGTAAAGATCAAATCTTGGATTTTGATTATTGTGATTGGTTCAATTTGTTTCAGTGTCTGCAAATTTGGTTCATAATTGATTTGATGATCTGTATCAGCTAACAATATTGTGGATTGAGTTTTATTTTGGTTCAATTTTTATGTACTTGTTTTGTGTTTTTGTGGTGATTGTTGATATCTAGCAAAGTATAGTACATGATGTAGACTTATCTCGAGATCTGCTAGAGATTGTTGTTCTCCTATAGTTATATCTGTTTGGTTTTTAATTAAATTAAAACAATTGTTGGAGTTTTCAGTAACACTGTAAAGTTAGAAATTTGAACTAGTATTAACTTGGAAAGCTAATATCGTTTCATCTTGATCCATTTGACGTTGGCGGGATCATTTCATCTTGATCTGTATAGTATACACGACATTGAAGTGAGCTTTGACAAACGAACGAGTCATTCGGGTTATATGGGTCGGGTCAGGTAACTTGTTTAATAAACGGGTCGGATCGCATTGATTCATTTATTAAACAGGTCGGGTCGGGTCATACTTATATGGGTCGAGTCAACTATGACCCGACCCAACCCGTTTGCCACCCCTATTATTTCTTATTCATCTGTGAGAGAATCACTTTGAGAATGACGAGGATGAAAAAAAAATAGATTCCTTAGATGTCTGTATTGGTTCTAGACTTTGTTAGTGCATATTAAAGTTTACAATGGACCTTATATGTTGTCACATTTAGCGGCTGGGTGTGACTTGATCCGCCATGGGTTGGAGTTAACCGGTTACCGGATGCACATTATCACATTTATTCCGGCTATGCAGTATAATTTGTCTACAGAGTGTTACTTGAGATGTCATCTGACTTATCTCCATTACTAATGAAATTGATGAGTCGAGTCAAACTGCCATCACCTAGATCTGGGTTGAGGCATAGATTGTTAGGTGTGCATCACATCCATTCTCGTATCAAATGTTGGTTTTGATCCACGAATTGAGATAGACATTTAGTCTGCATTGAGAAGATGGTTACCTGAATGAATATGATTGAGTATAGCTGGGCTCATGATTGACCAAGACTAATGCTTTTCAGTCGATGTTCTTACAAAAAGTCCAGATCAGACTAATGCTTTTGAGTCTGTGTTCTTCCAAAAAAAGTCCAGATCAATATGTATTCATTCACCATATCATTCCATGCTGATATCCCCTTCCATCGACAATGC